TGGCTAGAACAGTTCAACATTCTCTTCAGTTCTGTGGCTCTCTTCTCTTCTTTGCTACTTCGAGTATAGCTCTTCAGATTACACGCATTTTAAAACATTGTATGTAACAATCACAAAGTAAAGCAATGAAGTACAGAGCTTCCCCATAGAAGTGGTTCCATGGAGCAAGTCCACATGAAAAGTTTCATTTACCATAACTGGATGTTGGCTATGATTCATGCTTTATCCTCAATCTCACCCTTAAGCATGTTTGACTACCCTTTGGGTTTCCACAGCCCCATAATGGTACCACTTCTTGGTCCATGGTCACTCAAGAGCATTCCTTCAGATTGCTAAAATTACCTATGGACTGGTCCTAGGGTAGGCCATCAGAATTAAAGCTTCATTAAAATCACATTTCTAGAATGGAACCCATGGAAACCTGGTTGAAACCATAGCCCAAGTAATGGTCCTCAGCCCCAGATAATGAGAAAGTGTACCATATGCCTACCCATTCTTTTTTTTTTATCAGCAAAAGAGAACTTTATTTAAATTTGGGGTTAAATTAAAGTTTTACAGCTCGTGCACAGGATTAATGCTCCCACACTAGTACATATTTCTGTCCCACTTTACATTGCAGCCCAAAACAATTGCTGTCTCAAAGCCCCTTGTTTGGCAAGATAATTAGCTAGCCCATTTGCACTCCTTCTAACCCATTTGAATTCAGCCTCTACCTCCTTTGCAACCTTTTCCACTTCCCTTATCACTTGTTTGAAAGTCAACGAAGTACTTCTATTGTTTGTAGCCCAAGAGATGATCACCTTGGAATCCCCTTCAACCTCAATATGCCTAAGTCCTAGCTGTTTAGCTATCTTCAGCCCTTGTACCAAAGCCATTAACTCAGCTTTTAGAGAGTTGCCAATTCCAATCAGTCCAGAGAACAAAGCTAATATTCTCCTTTCAGAATTTCTGATTACTCCTCCAATACCTGACAGTCCCGGATTTCCAAGAGAGCTTCCATCAAAATTCAGTTTAATTCTATTGCCTTTTGGAGGTTTTCATTCCATCCTTACTTTCTCTTTCACTCTTAAGGGTTGTGCTACTTCTGTCCAAGATCGTAGAATGTCTGTGACTGAGTGTGACTGAGAAGTCTTGGAAGATATGCAAGGATTTTACCCAATGAGCTACTTTAACTTTTATGGTGTCTATCACCTCCTCCATTGTTCTACTCTTCTCCAAGAATATTCTGTTATTCCTTTCTTCCTAAATCACCCAACAAATATCTACCTTCGTAGCTTTCCACATAACCTTCCCTCTTTTCTTTGGTTGGCTCAAGAAGTCTCGGTTGAAGAGTCCTGCCACATCTTGAGGGGAAGCCCACCTACCCAACCCAGTAGAATCAAAAAAATATAACTCAACAAATGTGGCATCTCAAGAGACTAGTCCCATGATACCTCAGGAGCGGGCCCCTAGTTCTGACCCTAAGGAAGAGATTATCAACCCCTTTCGTGATCATTTGGAATTATATGGTAGGACACTTCACCATATGGATTCTGGCCCTACTCCTACCTCTTTTACATCTACATCAGGTAACACTGCCACTACTTTCCATGTGTCATCTCATACTTCTAATTCCCCTTGGATAATTGACTCTGGAGCCTCAAACCACATGACTGGTAAGTCAACTTTATTTCAGGCATACAACCTCCTCTCTAGGAGAGATAAGGTGAGACTGGCTGATGGAGTTTTTGAACTATTGTGGCTTCGATCCTTGATGGAGGAACTAGGTATTGAGCATGATAAGCCATTGATGTTATACTGTGATAATCAGGTTGCCATCAACATTGCTCACAATCCAGTGCAACATGACAGAACCAAACATATTGAAGTTGACAGACACTTCATTCGAGAAAGAGTGGCTTCTAGAGAAGTTTGTCTACCTTTCATCACTTCTGAAGGACAGATAGCTGATTTCCTCACCAAGGACATCCCCAAGGCTAAACTTCAGCATGATGCTGGAAAACTTGGCATGATTAACGTCTATGCTCAGTTTGAGGGGGACTGTAGAGAAGATGGGCCGAATGGCCCATAGACTATTTGTCTTATTTTATCTCTTTATGTTCATTGCTGTAATAGGCCTCAACTTGAGCCTTTTTTTCTCTTATGTTATGTTTTAATTATCTGCCCAACTAAGGGCATCTCTATAAATTACTAAAATTTAAGTTAATGAAATAGGATTAGGGGTGTAAGAGGAGATTATGTTTGAAATCTCTCTCTGAACCCTTATTGTCGCCACCTTCTTCTTCCTCTTCTCTCTTCTTGAAACCTGATTTCTGCTATTCTCAATCAATTCTCTGCAATATTTTGAACAGTCCTTTCATTTCAATTTTCTTCTGTAAGATCAATCCTCGTGCCAATTCCTATGTTTTCCTTGGTTACCCCTTATCTCAAAAGGGTTACCGTTGCTATGACCCAACTTCACGCAAGTACTATGTCTCCATGGATGTATCCTTCTTTTTGAGAGTCAACCTTTTTTTCGGTTTCTCCTCAGGGGGAGAATAGGGTTGAGGAGAAACACACCCAGGCACAATTACCTCCTCTTCCTGATCATCCTCCATTTCACGTCTTTCTTCACCACAATAAGAGCTAGTGGAGTTCAAGAGTCGTGGAACCTAAAACTATGCAACCAACATCATCAAACTCTCCCAAGGCAGATCCTCATCATCATCTAGGTACACTTGTTCCCACTAATATGCCTATACCTCTTGATATTGATCCCCCTACTATTAATGATCTTGATGTTCCTATTGCTAAGAGAAAGGGTGTTAGATCTTGTACTACTAATCATCCTATCTCTCACTGTGTCCTATGATCATATTTCACCTTCATATCATGTGTTCCTTTTCTTCATTGACAGTGTTTCTGTTCCTAAGAATGTGATAAAAGATTTATCCAAACCTGAATGGACAGATGCAATGAAGGAAGAAATTAATGCATTGCACAAAAATGGCACCTGGGAGTTGGTGGATCTTCCTAAAGGGAAGGAACTAGTGGGATGCAAGTGGGTGTTCACAGTAAAGCATAGGACTGATGGTACCGTAGAAAGGTACAAATCCAAATTTGTGGCAAAAGGGTTTATACAGGTATATGGAGTAGACTATGCAAAGACCTTTGCTCCAGTAGCCAAGATGAATTCTATCAGGATCCTTCTTTCATTGGCAGCTAATCTTGATTGGGAACTTCACCAGTTGAACATTAAGAATACATTCTTGAATGGTGACCTAGAGGATGAGGTGTACATGACTCAACCTCCAAGTTTTTGTGCCAAAGGCAGTGAGCAGAAGGTGTGTAGGTTAAAAAAAAAAACATTATATGGGTTGAAACAATCACCTCAAGCCTGATTTAGTAAGTTTCACTTAGCCATTCATCGGGTGGGGTTCAAACAATGCCAATTAGATCATACTCTGTTTGTGAAGAAAGGTGAAGGGAAAATTGCAGCGTTAATTGTATATGTTGATGACATAATGGTCATAGGAGACTAAAAGGCTGAAATACAGAAGCTGAAGAAATTCTTAGCCACCCAATTTGAGGTGAATGATCTAGGACCCTTACGTTATTTCCTAGGAATTGAAGTCGCTCGCTCTCAAAAGGGTATCTTTATTTCTCAAAGGAAATACGTACTAGATCTATTAGAGGATACAGGCAAGTTAAGGGTGAAGTCAATTGATTCACCCATTGAACCTAACCATCAGCTAGGAGACAATCAGGGGGGGTCTTTGAAAGATGTGAAGAAGTTCCATAGACTTGTAGGGAGACTCTTATATTTGTCTATGACCAAGCCTGATATTGCCTATGCAATGGGTGTCCTTAGTTAGTTCATGCATAATCCTAAGATAACTCACTTTGAAGTTGTAGAAAGTTTCCTTAGATACCTCAAGAAGTTCCCAGGAGTAGATTTGCTATTCCAGAAACATGGGTATTTGAAGGTCGAAGTGTACACAGATGCTGATTGGGCAGGGGTAGTCGATGACAGAAAATCTACCAGTGGGTATTGTACCTTTGTGGGAGGAAACTTAGTCACTTGGAGAAGTAAGAAGCAAAGTGTGGTGGCTAGGTCCAATACTAAAGCGGAAAAAAGAGTTGTCTCATGGAGTTGTTGAAATCATGTGGATTAAAAACCTATTAGGTGAACTGGGTTTTGTAATTAACAACCCCATGTCACTCTACTGTGACAATAAAGCTGCTATCAACATTGCTGCTAATCCAGTCCTCCATAATAGAACAAAACACATCGAAGTACAAGCATTTTATTAGAGAAAAACTTGTGAGTGGAGAAATGTGCATTCCATATGTCAGCTCAAAAGAACAACTTGCGAGCATCTTCACCAAAGGCCTTCATTATATGCGGCATAATAATTTGTGTGACAAGTTAGGCATGATTGACATCTATGTCCCAACTTGAGGGGGATGTTGAAATAGTTTATTTTATATTTATATTCTTATTCTGCTTAGTTAGGGTCTGTTTGGTCTGTTTAAAGTAGTTCTTTTATTACCATTCTTGTACTTTAATCCCAGCAGGGGCACAAGGGTCTTTTCCCTTTTTATTATGGTCGCCCTATAAATGTTAGTGCAATCTAGTGCCGCCAGACTGAAGTTAAATTCTCCCTTCTCTCTCCCTTCCCTTCTTGTTTACTGTTGTTCGTCCACTGTTAAGAATCCTCTTGTGCAACTTCCCTTTGTGGGTAACCAGGGTTCAAATCTTGGAAACAGCTTCTCCCTATGTGCAGGGGTAAGTCTGCATACATCTGTCCCTCCCCAGACCCCACATTGGGCTGCCCCTTTTATATTTTGTGTCAATCATTGGTATGATTCCTTCCCAAACCGCAGAAAAACACATGGACACACAAAGAATGAAGTAAATAAAAACTGAAGCCTTCATTATACTCATTATTGTAATTGCCATTACTACTGTTTGTTTCTATGCAATTTATTTCTTAATGACCATTAAATCTGTTTGGCAGACAAATAGTATGATCTACCAAGATGTCTTTGCATGCATTCCTAATGATTTTATGCATTCCAGGTATGACACTTTGCAATTAAATTGTTTTATTTTCTCACTTGTTTGAATATCATGTTCATACAATACCATAACATGCAGGGTAGCAATCAGACAAAGCATATCATACTGGAAAGAAAAGCTAGGGCATACTACCATTGATTTGGGGATAGCCCCAAAGAAGCTAGAGTCATATCAGAATGGAGTCGCTAAAGCCGATGATCCCATGGAGAGATTAGAGGCAGTGCATGGGCACCTTGTTACTTTTCCCTTGGATTTCATGCGTCAAGAAGATTTGAGACCAGTGTTCAATGAGAGTGAGTTCTATGCATCTTCCCAAGTTTTTCATTAAGTTTAGTCTTTTGAGGGACAGGAAATAGGGAAGTTATGATTATTGCTGTAGCCATGGTAACTGCATTGTCATATCCAAGCCATGAAAATTCTTGGCCCTTGGCGTATTCTTTCATTTAAAATCAAAGAGAAAAATAAATTGGGAAAAATAACCCAAAAGATGAAAAAGAAAAAACTCTTTTTTATCAACAAAAGTTCAGGAAATTGACGATGGATGGCATTATCGACACTATTTTTTTTCAATAACTCATTATCCGCGCTTGCGCTTAGTTGTGTCATGTGTGCATAATTAAGGCCCGGTTTCCTCTTACTGGAGAAAAAAGTCTTAATTATTATAACTTTTTTTTCTTTACATACTGGGTGAACTCATTAGTGGTGCCATAATTGCTTGTATTTTACCTTTTAAGTACCAACAAAATCTCTTCCATCGTCTACACTCTATGGTACTTGGCCAATCAAGGGAGTGCTTGCCGTGTATGATTTTGTTTTTCAAAACAAAAACATTGCCACATCAGCAAACATATATTGATTTTGCTGAAGACTACTGGAGAGGTCTCATCATGGAAGATTGGTATTGTGGGCTTGAAATAGCCAGAGGCCCAGAGTTGTCAATGAACCGGATATCCAATTGTATCTGAAGGACTGAAACAACAGTAGACAAAACTGATTTTGGAGACTGGTTAACGTTGAAGCTGATAAATTAGGAGATCCGGACCTTTCTGGATGCTCTGGAACTGAGATTCCAATTTAGAATTAATGGTCCATTTTGCGAGTGGACTATTTCCCAAACTCGCTGCGCATAGAGGATTCGGAGTCCACCCATGTAGCCAGGAATCTGGATTGCTAGGCCAGGTGGCCTAACTGGAATGAGTTCAAAACCTCTCCATATATAATGAACTGTTGTCAACCCAGTTCCAATAGTTGAGATGGTCACAGTCTACCCGCTCACGACTCAATAGTTGAGATGGTCATTTGGCATAGCCGCATAGGAGGCGTGCCATGAAATTCCATGAAACTGCAGCCTTTACGTCGTTTGGTTCCTAATTTTAATTTGTAGGTACAAATTTACAATCACTCTTTCACGTGAATGTTAAACCCACCTTACCAAATACCAAACACTCAAAACTTTTCACAAAAAACGAGGTGTGGCCGGTCATGGTGTGGCCTCATTATCCACTCTACAAATCAATTGTACCTACAACTTAAAAGAATCTGAAATTTTTAGGGAATTGTAGGGGGGAAGGGTTCACAGTATCTATGTTTCTGCTCATCTCATCCAATTTACTATCTAGTAATGCTCTAAATTCTCCCTACTCCAATCATGGTTAATAGCATTAGCATATACTTTCTTCTCGATTATCCTCATCTTATCTCTTTTCCTAGTGGCAGCCAGGCAAATGATGAGATGATGTTCTGAATGACAGCTCGAGCTTCTATTAAAATAATTGAAACCGCACACTATCTTATTACAATTTTAAGAAAAAGTGATGAATAAAATGTTATTAGATTGACCACCAATAGAGGATAATATTACATGTGGAAATGTAATATTCCGTAAATGATCTAATTGGAAACGTAGAGGACAAAATTATTAAATTACTGTAAAATGTATGGTGCATCCATTGGCCGCATCCTGTAATTAAAGATGTCATTGGTTAAACGAGATGGTAAGAATACTTGTAAAAGGTGAATCAATGAAAAAATAAACAGATTTTTATAACTTGATTGGTTGGGATCTGGTTTAAGGTACAGCCATTATTAGTGAATGCACCATACTTGAGTGGGGACATTAGGGACGGGTTTGGGAAAATTTAAGGATTCCCCATTCTTGATGAGGAGTGGATGCCTTCCCTTGAACTTGCCCAATACTGAGGATGAGGTGGGGAAATTTGAGGACTCCTCGTCCCTTATGAGGAGTGGGTGCCTTGTCTTAAACCCGTCTAACACTAGGGACAGGGCGGGCATGAGATAGAGTGTCTTCGACTATAGAGCGGGGATAGGATTGGAGTGCCCCGTCCCAAACTCATCCCGTTGCCATTCCTATATAATTGTTAATTATTAGTGAAATTAATAAAAATATTAGCTTTTATAATTATTTTTATTTATTTAAAGAATCAAAATTTCATTTAAAAATAATGAAAATAATAATTATTATTAAAATTACTACAAATGATTAATAAAATTATATTTATTAAAAAAATATTTGTTCATATTAAATTAGCAATAATTATTTTCTATAAATCAACATTAAATGAAAAATACAATTGTTAAAATCTTAAATATTAACAATAACTTTGAATACTTTTAATTAATTAACAACAAATTTTGATTATTAATTTGTCAATTAATTAATAGTAAATAAAATTATTCAATCTTTCAGTTTTTCTTGTGCATTGCACGGGTCGCTAGTATATATATAAAGCAAGGTTGTCCACATCACCATGCCTCTCCTTGCTCCAAATCTCCCTTCCTAATTTCCTGTTTTTTAATTTTTTATTTTTTATTTATTATTTTTTTAATTCCACATAATTACCCACTAAACCAATAAGGAAACAACATAGGCTAAATTATCTCTAACAACCAATAGAAAAAGAAATACGGATTTGCTTTTCTAATGTCTAGCGAAATGGCACTATTATCCCCAACTTTCTCCTAAATTATCTTTAATTCCCATTAACTTCCTAAATTATCTCTAATTCCTATTTACCCTCTCTCCCACTTTTTATCTATATCTATTTAAAGAAAGTTTGAAAAAAATTTAAGAATTATTTAAATATTATAACAAAATTATATACTAACTTTAAAATATTTACTAAAAACAAAACAAATAATTATAAGAGATTTAATAATATTCATATTATTAATAGTTTTATATTTTTACAAAATTCATCAAGAAATTATGTACTAACAACATAAATTATAATTTTACTGATTATTCAATTTAAATGTCATTCAACAATAAAAGTTTACATTAAAAAATAAAATATTATTTAAATATATCAGTAACTAAATATCTTAAATTAACATAACATTAAAAATAGATAAATAAATATATTAGAAAATATTTAATATTACGTAATAACTTTAAAATAAATAAAATTTAAATAATTTACATATTGCTTAAATATTCAAATAAAAAAATATTAAATAGCTAAAATAAAAAAATTATGTAATAAATTTAAAAAATTATTAAAAGTAGAAAATAATTGTAATAGATTTAATAATATTCATATTATTAATAATTCTATATTTTTACAAAATTCATCATGAAATTATTTACTAACAATCTAAATTATAATTTTATTGATTATTCAATTTAAATGTTATTCAAATAATAAAAATTGTAACATTAAAAAATAAAACATTGTTTAAAAATTTAAATATTTTTCAATATTTATCGGACATTAAACTACTATTATTTAACTTTTTAAATTTAATTTATTGTACTTATTGTATTTTTGTTATAAATTTATATGTTAGTAATTTGTAATTTTTATAATTTATTGATTGATATTTATTAGATATTAAACTATTATTTGAGATTACACTATTTATTGACTAATTTAATATATTTTTAGTATTTATTATATTTTATTAGTTATTTATTGTATTTTCATTATAAATTTATTTTTAATAATTGTGTATATTCGCTATAAATTTTCAATAATTATTGGAGATTAAACTATTGTTATTTATTAGAGATTAGACTATTAATTTAGTTGAAATTAGGAGTGTTCACGGGTCGGTTCGATTTGATTAGGTTATAGGCTATTTTGCCAACCAAATTGACCTAGTCAAGTTGTGGAGTTGGTCACATGAAACTGACTAACCATTGGTGAAAACCAACCAACTCGGATTGTATCAGTTTTGGCCAAATTTTGGTTTGATCGGTTGGTTCAAAAGATTAAAAAGAAAACATAGTAGTATAATTAAAATAAATAAATTTATGATGTAAATATTTTAAACTAAGAAATATGGGAATTTTACCACTTTTTTGTATTAAAAATTATATTTAAAATTATATATATATATATATGGTCGAGTTGGATTGGTTTTGGCAGATTTATAAATGGCCAAACCGAAACTGACCCAACCTAGTCAAGTTGGGAAATTGCTAAACTAAAGCCGATTGGAAATATTAGAAAACCAACCAACTCGGTTTGAATTGGGTTGGGTTGGTTAGTTTCATTGGTTTGATGAACAACCTTAGCTGAACCGAGCTTGCCCAAAGGACCTTCTGTCGAGCAGAACGATTCTGCTCTTCATACATCGTCCTGAGACTGTCCAATATACTCGGACATCTGTGCAGTCACCAACCTGTGGCCTTTCGCACAGTGGGGGATCGATATACTCAGACCGTTTCCACCAGCAACAGGCCAGAGGAGGTTCTTAGTGGTAGTAGTTGATTATTTCACTAAGTGGGTAGAAGTTGAACCTCTCGTAACAATTACAGCTCGGAAAAGATTAGTGTGCCGCTTTGGGTTACCTTGGGTACTGATCTCCGACAACGGTAAGCAGTTCGAGGACATTAAGTTCTAGAACTGGTGCTAAGACATGGGAATTCGATAGAACTTTACGTCGGTAGCACACCCTCAAGCAAATGGTCAAGCGGAGGTCACGAACAGAGCTATCCTCCGCCAACTGAAGGCACACCTAGACCGAGCTAAAGGACTATGGGCAGACGAGCTACCCAGTGTTCTATGGGCTTATTGGACCACAGTGAAGACTGTTACAGGCGAGACCCCCTTCAACCTCACCTACGGCACTGAAGCAGTCATCCCAGCCGAGATCGAGGTTCCCTCGCTACGACTAGAAGCGAATGATGACAAGGTAAATGAAGGCGAGCTGCATACCAACCTCGACCTACTTGACAAAGTACGTGATCTCGCATATATTAGGACCGCGGCCTACCAGCAAAGAGTAGCTCGGTACTATAACGCCAGGGTCAAGAAGCGGAATCTCCGTGTCGGCGACTTGGTTCTTCGTAAGGTTATGGTGCCTGAGCCCGGTGTTGTAAGCTCGGACCAAATTGGGAAGGACCCTACCGAGTAAAGCGGGTGCTCGGGGAAGGAACGTACGAGCTCGAAACCCTAGAAGGGAAACAAGTACCTCGGGCATGGAATATTGTCAACTTAAGGCAATATTACCTATAAATAACTGAGTAGACCACGAGTCACTCCTAAAGCCTAAGGGCCAAAATGTCGAGCTAAC